TTTATATTCGTGCACGTGCGTATGAAACTTGAAAACAATGCCAGTGAATAATGAGGTCGCACACTTGTAAACTCAAAATCTAAGGGAACAGTTGGTTACATTCGAAGCCCTATTTAAAAGCCTTCCCCGTTTTTAATGTTATTGAAACTTACAGGGCATATTTATTGACAATTGATCTCGGGATTGTGTAGTTTATAAAAAAAATTTATCGAGCGGTTTTCTGAATAATGCGAAATTTGTAGGCATGTACCAAATTGCATGCAAAAACTGTAACAAAAGCTGCTGAATGCAGGTTAGTAAAATTCTTCTTACTCGCGATCGCCCAGAGCAATTGTCTTCTTTTTTTGTACGCAGTTTTCAATGGAATCAAACTACTATGCGATGAAGCCGCTTTTCCAAAGCTTATCATTTTCTTACAATATTAGCTAATTGTGTAGATGGTATGCTATTTCACTGTTTTTATGATTCTTAAAACTTCGTTTCAAAATATTTCTAAAACGCTCCCATAGAATTTGTTCAAACTTTGCAATAATTGAGGGAATTATGGCAAGTACATAATCCCTTAAGCGATTTCTTCAAAAGACTCCTGGTACAGAGAAACACAAAGATAAACAAAAAAACGTAATGGCGTCATTACGTTGCCATGGCGACTCCGATTGTAATAAAACCCAGATCGTAAGAAATTTTCATCTTTATATAATACAGTTGTGGTAATCTTTTCCTCATATCTTTACTCATGCTGACATAGTTAATGCTCAAGCGTGGGAGGTATCCCCCCTAAAAAATCCAATCGAGCCACCTTAAGTGCAACGCTTGGACACTACTATACCGAATATTACCGCTGAGTCACTGACCTTTTGGCTGATAAAATTGGTGAAAGAACAAAGTTTGATTTTGTACAATAGTAAATTTACTTCGTGTGTTATTTTGAAAGAACATTAAATATTCACCCACCATTTGTTGTGTCAGTTGCTGTGCTGATAATTAATATTCATAAGTATCATAAATATAAGTCACGTGCAGTGACTTTATATCTGATAAAACACCGCATACTAATAAGGGGAGATTTTATCGATATAAAGTCACTGCAAGTGATGTATGATCGACTATTTAATAGGTCAATGGGCTTATGAATTATTAATTCGTTTTTGAAGGATCACGCAACGCCCTCTGGGTTTGTGGGTTAATAAGTGATAGTGTTCGTTTTTCGACAAAGAAAACTACCCATTTTATGAACTAGGGCGTGCCTTGAGGCAGCCCAGTTAATAAAAGCTAGAGGGGATTGGATCAATTGCTGGATGAGCTTTTTTACTTTTACGTACAGCTGTGTATTATCCCCTGAAAAGAGATGCGTATTCCAATTGAGTTTTCATAACGGACCGATGTAGTCTGAGACCAGAAAGACATATTTGGACTCGGTGGAACTATTAACAAAGAGGAAATATCGCATTGAGGTGTTTATTGATTAACGTCTTGCTAGTAGAGGACACGGACCGAAAAAACTTATAAAATCATGAGATATAGTTAAACAAACATCTGTTCGTAAATTCTTCATATTTGCAGCACTGCGAGTTTTCACTGATGCTGAGCTTTTTAAGTCCCTGAATTTGGGGCCTGCAGCCTAAATCACAGGTTCTTTCCTGTAAAACTGATGGCAAGGTGTTTGATAAAATAAATTCAAAACGGAAAATAAATAACAGTTGTTTGTCTTGTTCAGCAAACGTGTTGAACTCGTATTAGAATAGATGTGACATGGAAGACAGAGTCTTCCCTCAGTACCTCACAACCTTATCCCCACACGCGGGCTCGCAGAAAGAAAATACATATATATAAAAAAACCCGCAGAAAGAAAATACATATAAAAATTTGATAACTAACCTGTTTGGTTACGACAGTTGATAAAGTTTACGGAACGCATATCAAACATTAAATACCCTAGTTGACCTAGGGAGCTACCTCCATGATGTCGGTCTTTTGGCAATCATTAAAGGATGAAGTGATGAAGTTTCTGATTGGTCAACAAGGGAAACATTAAAAGCTTATAGTGTGCCAATAGAGGCTATAAAATGCAGTACCAGGCAGTACTGAAGCTTCTTTGGAAAAGCGAGGAAGTTTGAAATAGAAACGCATGCAAAATGGCTGACAACCGGACAAAATTATTGCTTTAGAAACACCAATGAAATTGCACGTGCAATAATTTTAAAACATCACTCTTGCCATAAATAAAGAAATGTATAATTCGAATTCATACGATTTTCTATACTTACTGCATTTATGGTTAAAATGTTCGTACCTTTATGGTTTATAATTTATTACATTTATGGTTTGGGTTTTCATTACATTTATGGTGGACATAACATTTATGGTAAGTGTTACTGTTATTTAGCAATTATTGAATGAGGCTAAGTAGGATTATGCAGATTGAGGAGGATGTCATCGGCCGAGGTGGATAACATCCTCCAAGATCTGCATAATTCTCATCCTCGGAGACCCAGGGGCAGTCAGTCGGGTCGGGAGAAAAGGTGGGACGAAAGTTTTCAAGTACGGGCGAAAGAGCGCCTGGGTACCGACTCTCACCGAACTATTTCCAAAAATTCAAGCGGATGCCGGCTCCTGATTGGGCACAAATAATGCTTTTTATTATTGTGCCCAATCGGCGAACAGTTTCTTTTCGTGAGTTCGTACACGACGGCTATTGTCTTGCCACACTTGCCCGGTTCGTTCACCAAGCTTGTGCGAGCAAGGGAAACTTTTATTTTCTACTTTCCTAACCAGAAACGAAGGAACTACCGATGGGTCGAAAAAACGTTTGGGATGCTATCAGCAGGAGCAATTCAATTTGCCCCGATAATATTCTGTTTTTGACTCATCACAATGTATCGTAAATAACAGAATATAAAGATGCGGCGGCGACGAGAAAGTCAAATAAACAATAGCTTGACAAGGCAGAACGACAACTTTGCACGTGCATCACACTTTTTTGTACATTTCTTTGCCGTCAACTGGACGACTACCCGTGAAAATGCCTAATTTCATGTTTTGTGAAGGACGTAAACAACCAATGACAAAATTCATTCTCTTCATGAACTTGGATATGTTGATAGAAATTCAGCTCCAGAAGAGTTCGTTTGCCTTGACGAAGTAAGCGAGTTGGAATAATCACGATTGAAACTGAAAAAAATGTGAATTCCTTTTCCATGCGACGTTTTCGTGGTTGTCAGCCGTCGTGGTATCTTTTAAAAATTCTCTAATATTTACGCAAGACGTGACCGGTGCAAGCGTGAATACCTGTTGTAAGCTCAAGCTTGTATTTTTGGAAAAGCGACTTTAGTTTTCGGGCAGATAGTATTTTGAAATCAGATGGGGATTTGATATCAAGCTGAAAGTTTCCTGACCGCGTGCATTTCTTTGGTGCATGAGCCACACAAGCCGTGATTGAAACAATAGCCGTCGTCTACGAACTCTCGAAAAGAACTCAGGAGAAACTGTTCGCCGATTGGGCACAATAATACAAAGCATTTTTTGTGCCCAATCAGGAGCCGGCATCCGCTTGAATTTTTGGAAATAGTTCGGTGAGAGTCGGTACCCAGGGGCTTTTTCGCCCGAACTTGAAAACTTTCGTCGCGCCCTTTCTCTCTAACCGACTGCCTAGTCTCCAAGGATGATCTCCAAGCGGCCATGTTTATTTTATAAACACCAATGAAATACCAGACCATTTCGCCTTAATATTTTTTAAGTCCTAGAGAAGACGAATGTGTGAGAACTAATTTTTTACATTTTTTACATTTCTTAAAATAGCTTTTGCAACACTATATGAACTTATGGTCATGCAAATAAAGCTCGTTGTTGCTGTAAAAGCTTGTGGCTGAAATAGTTTTATTTTCCAGAATTTTTAACAGTATGTTACAAACTACTCTGTAAAACTATTTATTTAGATATTCTGCATTTGCAGATTCAAGAAGTATAGAATAGGCCAAAGAAATGANGACGAAGTAAGCGAGTTGGAATAATCACGATTGAAACTGAAAAAAATGTGAATTCCTTTTCCATGCGACGTTTTCGTGGTTGTCAGCCGTCGTGGTATCTTTTAAAAATTCTCTAATATTTACGCAAGACGTGACCGGTGCAAGCGTGAATACCTGTTGTAAGCTCAAGCTTGTATTTTTGGAAAAGCGACTTTAGTTTTCGGGCAGATAGTATTTTGAAATCAGATGGGGATTTGATATCAAGCTGAAAGTTTCCTGACCGCGTGCATTTCTTTGGTGCATGAGCCACACAAGCCGTGATTGAAACAATAGCCGTCGTCTACGAACTCTCGAAAAGAACTCAGGAGAAACTGTTCGCCGATTGGGCACAATAATACAAAGCATTTTTTGTGCCCAATCAGGAGCCGGCATCCGCTTGAATTTTTGGAAATAGTTCGGTGAGAGTCGGTACCCAGGGGCTTTTTCGCCCGAACTTGAAAACTTTCGTCGCGCCCTTTCTCTCTAACCGACTGCCTAGTCTCCAAGGATGATCTCCAAGCGGCCATGTTTATTTTATAAACACCAATGAAATACCAGACCATTTCGCCTTAATATTTTTTAAGTCCTAGAGAAGACGAATGTGTGAGAACTAATTTTTTACATTTTTTACATTTCTTAAAATAGCTTTTGCAACACTATATGAACTTATGGTCATGCAAATAAAGCTCGTTGTTGCTGTAAAAGCTTGTGGCTGAAATAGTTTTATTTTCCAGAATTTTTAACAGTATGTTACAAACTACTCTGTAAAACTATTTATTTAGATATTCTGCATTTGCAGATTCAAGAAGTATAGAATAGGCCAAAGAAATGACAGTCCAACACTTATAATCCTGACCTACATCAGTAAATCTTACATGAAAGCTTGATTATCATACCTAAGAAGTTTAACTGTTCAGTTAAAAAGACGTTAAGAATCTTGTTTCCACTTTCTTACTCTTAAAATATATTTTTTCTCAAGGTTAAGAAAAGAGCGTCATGGACAACATCTTGGAGATTCTACAGACCATTCGTATTGGTGCAGTCGTTGCAACTTTCCTTTTCAACACTGGACGTATTATAAAAGCAGTGGACATTTTTAACGAATGTCTGGTGCTCCTTAACGGTAAAGCCCTAGAGACAATCAAAGAACTTACCACACCAGTTCTTATCTATGTCTACCATAAACTTCTTGATGGCTATACTCGTCTGTACGATCACACCCGTGCGATAGAATGTGGTAAAAAGCTTCTAGTGACACTACACAATAGTGGCCAAAAAGAAGTAGAAGGGATGACATTACTTAAAGTAGCGAAAATCTACTATCAAAGAAGCAAATTCGAGGAAGCGAAACAGTTTTACGAGAAGGCACTCAGCATCATGATTGAGGCTGGAAATAATCGCGGAGTTGGAGCATGTTACGGAAATCTAGGAACTGTGTTTTTTTCTGTTGGTCAATATACCAAGGCTGAAGAATACCTTCAAAAAGCACTAGTGATCAGGAAAGAAATCGGTGACAAAGAAGGAGAAGCAGCAGATTACGGAAATCTAGGAACTGTGTTTCGATCTGTTGGTCAATATACCAAGGCTGAAGAATACCTTCAAAAAGCACTAGTGATTAGGAAAGAAATCGGTGACAAAAAAGGAGAAGCATCTGCTTACGGAAATCTAGGAACTGTGTTTCAGTTTGTTGGTCAATATATCAAGGCTGAAGAATACCTTCAAAAAGCACTAGTGATCAGGAAAGGAATTGGTGACAAAGAAGGAGAAGCAGCCGATTACGGAAATCTAGGTACTGTGTTTGGCTCTGTTGGTCAATCTACCAAGGCTCAAGAATACCTTCAAAAAGCACTAGTGATCATTAAAGAAATCGGTGACAAAGAAGGAGAAGGATCTGCTTACGGAATTCTAGGAACTGTGTTTAAATCTGTTGGTCAATATACCAAGGCTGAAGAATACCTTCAAAAAGCACTAGTGATCAAACAAGAAATCGGAGACAAAGCTGGTGTTGGAGTTTCATACTTAAATCTGGGAAAACTTTGTGCAGAATTTCAACTTACTGCAAAGAGTCAAGAATTTGCTAATAAAGCACTTGAGATAAGTTACGAAATAGGGGACATTGAAATGCAGTTTGAAAGCCACCTTACCATTGCTCTGAACGAGTTAGTGGCAGGAGGAAGCATAACTGAACCTCTGCGAAATCTGTATGAAAGCATTCAGAAGTGCGAAGAAATGCATGATTTTTTAAGAGTACAAGATCAATTCAAAATTTCTTTTTTTGACGAGCATGTGTCCCCTTACCTTCTTCTTTGTAGGTTGTTAATTGCTACGGGTAGTTATTATGAAGCTCTTTACGTTGCCGAGCTTGGACGATCCAGAGCACTGACAGACGTACTTTCAGATAAGTACTGTGTGGAAAAAGGGGTATCAGTCAACCCACAGTCATGGATTGGTATTGAGAACATTATGCACAAAAATGCACTTAGTTCTTGTCTTTATGTTTCCTGCTTCGATGATAATATGTACTTTTGGATTCTCAAGCCAAACAAAATTACAGTTTTTCGACAAACGAGACTCGAAGAAAGTGCAGATAAAGTGTTTGGAAATCAGACATTTGGTGGTTCTCTTAATTTATGTCAAGACCAATGCGAAGATCGATCATTGTTTTCATGTGTAAGTTCCCTGCCATCATGCAAACCATCTCAGAGTGGCAGCTTCGAATCTTTGCGTCTTATCGAAGAAGAGGAAGACGAAAATCACGACTCTAAACCTTTGACCCTTTCTGATGGTTACAACATGATAGTCGCTCCTGTAGCTGACTTACTCCAAGAATCAGAAATCATTATTATACCAGATAACTTGTTGTATCCAATTCCTTTTGCTGCTTTAAAGGATGGTAATGGAAAGTATTTATCGGATACTTTCAGGATTCGCATTGTCCCTTCCTTGACGACTCTTAAGTTGATTCAGCTCAGTCCAGCAGACTACCATAGTAAAACCGGTGCACTGATCGTAGGGGAGCCAGACGTTAGTGATGTATACTACCAAGGAAAAATTCTACAGTTAAACCCACTGCCTTGGGCGAGAAAGGAAGCAGAGATGATTGGGCGACTGCTCGGTGTTCAACCGTTGCTTGGAAAGGATGCAACTAAGCAGGCAGTCCTGGAAAGCATGCATTCAGTAAGTCTCATTCACTTCGCTGCTCATGGTGATGACGAACGTGGAGAAATAGCTCTTTCCCCTATAAGCTCCTGCGGAACTCCTCACGAAGAAGACTACTTATTAACGATGGCTGAAATTTTACAAGTTCGACTAACAGCCAAGCTGGTTGTCCTTAGCTGCTCTCATAGTGCAAGTGGTCAGATTAGAGCTGAGGGAATTGTTGGAATCGCTCGAGCATTTCTAGCATCGGGTGCACGCGCCGTGCTGGCGGCGCTGTGGGCTGTAGATGACAAAGCTACCATGTGGTTTATGAGTCATTTCTACGAGCACCTTGTTCGTGGTGAAAGTGCCAGTGAATCTCTTCATCAGGCCATGAAGTCGATGAGAGAGACTGGCTTTTCTGACATCATGCAGTGGGCACCCTTTATGCTGATTGGAGATAATGTGTCTTTCAAAGGTTTGTATTTGATATCATTTTTAGGTTTTTTAGTTATCTTAGTCAAAATTTGTGAAATTGATGTTCGTGACACTACGCATCATTTTGAAAAATATTATGAAGGGAGTTATACTGAGTTTTCTTAGTTTTTTTTGTTTATTGTCTTTTCGAACCCTGTTCATGGAAGTGAGGCAACTGGAGAGAAGGCCGAATTTAATTATTTTCCGATTTTTATGGAATATTTCGTAAAGCATGCTCGAATCTCTAACTAACTAAAATGAAAATGTAGAAAACGATAGTTGAGATTTATTAATATATTTAGTTATTAATATACCGTAAAATTCCAAAATAAGCCCTAGGCCTTATATTTTTCAAAGGCCCCTTTTGAGGGGCTTATTTTTCGGAGGGAATTATCTACGGAGGGAAATTTTCGTTTCAAAATCGATTGGGCTAGTCTTTTTGTTGGAAGTAAATTTACCGTTTTTGCTTTGATTTACTTTGTATTTGAGGGCAATTTTCCAAGTACAAGCCCCCGGGGGGCTTGTACTTGGAAAATACTTGTATCAGTGGCCTCTATGATACTTGTTCCGCGGAGAAGTCGAAAGATGTAATATGCCCCCAAGAAAGTATTTCATTCGATTCGATTGGGTTTTACAACACGTATTGCTTTAGTTCTCTTTGTACCAGGGGAGATGGCTGATATTCTGGGCATCCATTGCACAGGCTGCTTGGGCTGCTCGGGCGGCAAGGGATAGCATGGTTGGCGTGATATCAATCTCCTGCTCAAGCTATAATCTGATCAGTATACAAACAGCAAACGAATCGAAGGATTTGAAATGAAGTAAAATATTCTCACTGCATACATAATTGGCCGGTGACGCGGGAATTAAGTAACTCTTTTAAATTCCGTGGTGTTGGGCCTGCGCGCTCGTGGCATGATGCATTGCGGTCCTTGGTTAGAATTGCTTAGTTTTTGCCCGCCTCTTGGCTGGTTCAACGGGGTTCAGTGGAAGTGGCTTAGAAGTTTCGCCCCATCCCACCTCCCCTGGTGGCGGTTGACCTCGCTTACTCTCACTATTCGGCATGCAGTCGCGGTTGCCTCCCACAACTTATTTCTCCGTGTCGGAACAATAGGTATGCAGTGCGAATATTATACGAATCACATTTAAGCTGAAAGTGATACAATATGACTTAAATGAATTTTTAGCATACAAATGATTCCTCAAAATGTAAAGGTTTTGTTATTTGTTCGACTTTGAAAAAATCTGTGCCAGATATTTAGGTAAAACATTTAGCGCAACAAGCAACAGAAGCATGTTGATCGATGGCTAAAATAAATCGTGCAAAGAATACATACAAAAGGGAACCGTCATGATTGTTTTTTTTAATTTCTATCGCAGGTGCATTTGATAAGAGCAGTTTGAAAGATGGCGAAGATGCAACGGAAACAAAGAACTTGTAAACTGAGAGGAAATATGTTCAAGTTGACAACTACTGTCACAGCTGTACATAAAGGTATATACCTAGGATCTCAATGAAGTAGTCTTGTCTGAGACCCTAAAGTGAACAGGTGATAATTGTACTTTTTAAAGCAGGCGCCATTTTGATACGTTACGGGGGAAAGTGAAGCATGAGCTGAGCGTGGAGCACAAGGAGAAGGGATAGCCAGGACCAGTTAGTCGTCCTCATAGTGGAGACGTGAAAGTTGTATAGACCTTCTGAACCTATGTCTACTATACTAGTCAGGCCTTCTTTCGTTCTACGTGACTTCTGCTACTCTCGTCAACGCCTGCCCTTCAATTCACGCTTGTTTCAAATAAGCTCAATCACTTACATGTAGTATTACTTAGTATTACTTTGGTTTGATACACTTTGTTCATGTACTGATCTTGACAAACGTGATGAAATGCCAAATAGATATTTAAGTTATAATATGATTTTACTTAGTTAGTTCTGTCTCACCATCAATGGTCAAAGGCCTTGGATGAGGGCAAACAGGCGGACGTTGTTTTCCTGAACTTTGTAAAGACTTTTGACAGAGTGACACATAATATCCTGCTGCAAAAAATGTGTAATTTTGGTATATCCGGTGCGCTTTGAATTGGTGTAAGGATTATCCCACTGACCGAGAACAGAGAGTTGTCATAGAAGGAAAAAATTCTACTTGGTGTGCTATTCCATCGGGCGTACCTCAGGGCTCCTTATTGGGCCCTTTGTTCTTTGTAATTTTCATTGGTGATTTGCCTGTAGTGCTAATGCCTGTGTGCTGAAACTGTTTGTCATTATATGCTGACGACTGCAAAACATCCAGGATTATAAACTGTCCAGCTGATCATTCCGTATTTCAGTCAGGGTCCAGTTGTTCGAACGCCGGTTAGCGCTAACCCAGGGATAAATTTTTACCCAGGTTTCTTTTTCTTTTTATCAAAAGCACACTATCGGATAATTTTCTCTATTCTTTTTAGAGTATCCAGTCATCAAATTGTAGGCAAAGAAAATTAAACTGAATTTGCTTTTTAAGCTCTCATATCCGAGTGCAAATTTCGCACTAACCGTGGGTTACCTTAACCAAGCTTTGAACAACCCGGCCCAGATGTCGACAATTGATATGCATGGAGTCAACAAAACCTCAGGGAGTTCAACGTTAACGGAAATGTAAACTAATGCAATCTGCAATCTGTCTTGGAGTACTCATATCGATAAAATATCGAATAAGGCCAACAAGATCCTAGGTCTAAGGGACCTGTAAAGGATTTCAAGATGTTTCCACATTGAGAACTCTGTAGATCACAGCTTGAGTATTGCAGTGTTGTGTGGTCACCACACACATCTAGAAATATTTCTAAATATTTCAGCGAAGGGCAACTATAGTAATTTTGTTTTGAAGACCATGATGATTTCGAACAACGGAGAAAAAAGCTCAATTTGTTGTCCTTAGAACAAAGGAGGTTTTTATTTGACGTATTATTCCTGTATAAAGCCCTGAATGGCTATATAAATATTGATCTATCTACATATCTACAGTTTTTCTCGGATTCTGATCGGTATCCTTTAGGGGGAAAAGATGAATGTACTCTCAAAAAGAATTATGCTAGAACTAATACATTTAAATAGGATCGTGGACATGTGGAACACTCTACCATTGCTTGTTCGTCAGGCAACAACTATTGCTAGTTTTAAGAAAGGAGTGAGGGAGTTTTTAGCTGGAAATGTGTAAGGTTTTTATATATTATTATTATTATTATTACTATTATTTTATTGATTTTTTTTGGACATTTCTCCATATGCATTTTCACATTTTTAATTGTCTTGTTTAATCTTAGTTTTTATCATATATTATATATTTTAGAAGGTGGTCTGTCTTGTATGGGGTCTTTGACTCTTTTAAAGACTGTCCTTTTGGTAATGTCTTTGTATTGATCACTAACGTGAAACCTTTTGCCATTAAATTGTAATAAATAACAAAAGTGTTCTCTGGAATCAAGTGCTCTTTGCCAGGGGCACCCAACGACGGTTTCCTCCTAAATACATTGAAAACACTTTTTAGGCTATCCAGAGTGCTTTTTTAATAGATATCTGGAAATACATTCTATATCTATTCGGTCATCCGAGGCCGGTGCTCGAGTCTTTTCGACATTACAAGGGCTTCTGTATTATTGTCCCCAAAATTTTAGATGCAATTTAACGTATTACGAAAGTAAAAATTTTTCTGATTCCTCTCTCCATCACAGTTTTGAATCCGAAAATAATTTTAGGTTTCCTTTTTTCCACGAAAATAGCCTAACCTAGGGAGTGAAATGTGAAAAATTAAACTTACTTATAAAATCGTAGGGAATTAATTACCGAAAATTGTACATGAATGGAACTGTCATCTAGAAATTTTTAGCAGTCCTCAAATAAAAGAAAATTCTAGGCAATATTTGCTTCTCCGAACAGATATTTTACAAAAAACCGTCGTTGGGTGCCCCTGCTTTGCGTCAATACGATAATTATGGTATTTTTTTCAAGCTTCTTTTATTTGTCTAAGATCATTCACCACCACAATGTTTCACTTATTACTGTTTTAGAGTAGTGAAAGTGTTTAGCGGAAAGTTCTAAAACAATTCAGCATGATGGCGAGTCTTAGAGGACACAAACAAAGAAAATGAATAAACATGTTTTTGTCCTCTAAGACTTGCTATCGTGCTGAATTTTGATATATCGAAAGACCCCCCCATTAGTGACTGATAAGACTTAACAACTCAGGCGATGTACGAAATTGTATTCTCCTGTTTTGAATGGGGCGTTTTCCAGTCCTCTGCCCTGCCCTGTCTTACCTTCTAGGGGTGACCCTTTTGCAACCTCGTTCCCAGGGCTTTTCCCTTAAAAAATTTTATGTCATTAAGGGAAAAGCCCTGGGGACGAGGTTGACTCTTTTGTTTTCAAACGTAACTAAGAAACTGACAGCAATGCATGGGTGGGTGCTCACTAGAATTTAGAAGTTGGGCTTTATTCTGAGTTGGTCCTCTTACAGCATTATGAACCCGGTTTATGAAACGGACTTGAGATCTTTAGAATGTCGGCAAATTCTAAACTCTCTCCAGGTATGTCATTCTGGTTTTCTTAGAAATGAGCCTGCCTATCAATCGTTTCAGCGTCTTTGTGTAATTTGTTAGCTCATTCCCATTAGATTTACGCATCTGACTAGAGTTCTGTTATAAATAGGGTAGGCTCCCCCCCCCCCCCGGGGGTAAGTTAGCTGTTTTCTAAGCTAAAGCGCTCATCAAGTAACTTTATTTGAGAGAAGAGGCTATTTAGTGAACAGGGTTAGGGTTCAAACCCAAAGCTTTATTTCAATAGTATACAAAAGTCTGTTAAAAGGCGTTTTAGACTGAAACCCTCTTCAAATTGTACAGAAGAACTTCCACCGGTTGGATGCCCTTACTACCATTGAGGTATGAGAGACTCTTCTTGCCATGCTCGGTCAAACAACTATGTTCTTAAAGAATGCCAATTGTCAAGAGCCCATCCTATTACAGGTTCAGTGATAGGTGTGAATGATTATTATATATCAAAAGCAGCAAAAGTTTGCCACGATTATGAATACACACATCGGTCTAGTTGTATGGCATATCGCTCCCCGAGTTTCTCATAGATGTCCTGGAAGATCATAGGTGCAAATCCCTTTGGAATACTCAGAACTGCTTATGTGTTTCTTAGTTTTCAATATTATAGCATCACTTGAAATAAATCATGTGGTTGAGAAGTTACTTCTACCTTTTAGCGGGAAGTAAAATTGTCATTCCGTATTTATTGGACTGATGCCTTTATATTTTCACTTCAGTTTTACACGAAGGATTTTTCCCTTACTGTTGGTAACTAAGGTTCGATTATTTGAAAAGTCCTCAGTAAGGAGAGAGAACCTGGGAACGAGGTTTCTTTCTGGTTCGTCAATAGGCTGGTTTCATTACTTATTTGTTTGGAATAAAATGTACTTTTTTCTCACCCATAAACCTTGATATTTCATGAAAAAGTCGATCGCGTTTGATCGCGTTTACGATCGAGTACCCGAGAAACGCGAAACGAGTGCTCTGAAAGCTCGCGTGCGAAACTCGCGCGCTAATTGAGACTGGGCACTAAAAGAAATAATATGGCGACGGAGGACGCAGAACATGTGTGTAGTTAAATTGGACCTAAAGTGACATTATTGGATTCCAGGTACTTGTACGTCACCTCGATCGGATCTTTAGCTTATTCATCAACACGGAGCTTTATTTATGGCATAGAAATTCACGGGCGTGGCTTGGCAGAAGTCGTGTTAAAGTCCCGCACTGGTCTTGTGAGGTATGCTCGAGCTTAATTTAAAGTTTTAGGCTTTAAAACAGAAAATGTTGGTCTCATGAGCATGAAATATTTAGATAATGTTACTGAAAGGATTAAGCTGATGTTTTAAATCTGATCACTATCAGTTAATTTTAAGGTAGCCCTTCTGCGGACATTTTACCATCCCCATCTACAGTGAAACGTGTAATTTGTGGATTAACCCACGTGACCTTAGTTGGTGTTCCCTGAATACAGGCTCGTTTTGCAGTAAAATGGGAAGAAAGTCTTCAAACAAAGTGAGCCATTCGTTCACGTAATATAATATAGGGTGTTCGCTTAATGTGGGCTTCACTTAAAAAGAGGCCCTCTTGCAGACCTCTCAACCCCCAAAGACCAAAAACCTGGAGATCAAGGTAAAAAGACCTGGAGATTTGGGAAGAAACCTGGAGGTTTATCAACGGCATCAAAAAGAACTAAAACCAGGTGTACGGAAGACACAAAAATGAAAATGGATTGCTAAGAATACGTTTAACAGGATATGAACCTTTCCATTCTGTTTTGAACTTTGTCTTCGCCCGATAAATATTCATCGTTTCCAGCCATTTTGACATCATGTATGAAACGTATCTAAATGCAACAAACTGGTAACGGTAACTTTAT